CTCTCTCTCTCTCTCTCTCTCTCTCTCTCTCTCTCTCTCTCTCTCTCTCTCTCTCTCTCTCTATATATATATATATATATATATATATATATTCTACTTCTAATATTCTATGATGATTATGGATTCATATACAACCGCATTTCTGTGGCTATTGTTGATCACTTGGATCAAAGAAAGAACACAAATTAACAAACGAGACTAGACATGAAAAAAGAAAATTAAGAAAAGAAGGGAGAGTAGAACAACGAAAGATGTGCAACTGAAATAGCATCAGATCCAATTTTCTTTTTCTTCTTTTTTTGACCAATTCATTTTCATAATAATTTTGAAAGTAAAAATTGCTTACTAGAGAACAACATATAGACTATTTGGTCAGTCTTCTACTCATCCTATTTATAAAATTAGGATTTGGGTTCCATTCCAGGTTAATTAACTCACTAGTAAATAAGAATTAAGAGATACGAAATCTGACCATAAATTTTCACTGATTTTGGTGGTCCTCTCTATCATGCATGGGCAAGCCTTCTTCTACTCTAAACCTTTTGTCTTTAAAATAAAAAGAAAAGAAAAGAAAAGAACAATTGTGTACACACATATATATATATATAGTACTTGAGAAGGGAAAGTTTTGTTAATTGATTAAAATTCATGTGAATTTTTCTTTTAGGGAAATCAAATCATCAGAAAATGGCATCATCCAGCTCCTACAATTCTCCATGTGCTGCCTGCAAATTCCTGAGGAGGAAATGCCTTCCAGGGTGCATCTTTGCACCTTACTTCCCACCAGAAGAGCCTCAAAAATTCGCCAACGTGCACAAGATCTTCGGTGCCAGCAATGTGACCAAGCTCCTCAACGAACTCCTCCCTCACCAGAGGGAAGATGCAGTGAACTCTCTAGCTTATGAAGCTGAGGCACGTGTGAGAGACCCCGTTTATGGCTGCGTTGGTGCCATCTCTTTCCTCCAGAGACAAGTCCAGAGGCTCCAAAAGGAGCTTGATTCTGCAAATGCTGATCTCCTTCGCTATGCCTGCAATGACATGCCTCCACCTTCTCTTCCTATGCCACCACCATCAATCACAACAACAAATACAATTCCACAAATAATGCCTCAAAGGTCTTATAGTGCAAGGTTTGGTAATGAAGCAACAAGTGGCTTCTATAGGCCCTCTCCCACTACTTACTCTTTCCCTTA